GCTTGTCGCCCGCGCCGCCGCCGAGCCCCGCCGCCCCGCCGCCCAACCCCGCCTCGCCGGAGCCACCGCGCCGGAGGTACCGCGCCGGATCCGAGCCGCCGTTTTTTTAAAACCGTTCGGTTTTTTTTAGAAGCCCTAGTTTGTTTTTTTAGATCGGTTCGCCGGTTTTCTCGATTGTTCTAATTAGCGGACGTTCATCCGTACGTTCGTTTAAATGCACAATTTTCTTCCATTAGTTACAGATAACGAACGCTCGTTCGTTAGCCTGTTCGTCAGTTTTCTTTTATCGGATTTATCTGCGATTATTTTCAGTCACGATTTCTGATCCGATCTTAGTTTCTGTTTATCTTTTCGCTCGTTAGTCGGAATCAGGTGATTCAAACACCTAGAGTTTCGCCTCGAGACCCTCTTTCTGTTTAATCAACTTAAACAAGATTTTGATACTATAAAAATTGACTTTAGTCCATATTAGTAAACGGATCTTGTTTCTTTTGCCGTTTGAGTTTCGTTGCTCCGTTTGATTTGATTTTTTTGCAAACCGGAGTTCTTAAGTTGAACTTTCTGGTCAATCTCTTTTATTTGAAGTTTTGCTCGTGCATCTTTGCTAGTTTCTTATGTATGCTATTGTTTGTTTGCGATAGAATCCCCAGAGTGCGAAGCGTGTTACTACGAGTCTCTAAGATTCACGGATCATCAGCAAGGCAAGTAACACATTGATCATACTCTTTTCATACCCAGTTTTCATTGCATTAGTTCAATCCTCAAACAATGCATGATTAGGATGTCTTTAACTTGAGGGTATTGGGAAGTAGTTGATGAGGTAGAACCTATTGCCCTGCTTATTATCAAACCCTTGGGAGTTACTTCTACGTTATGCTTATATTACTATGCTATGCTCGTAGACGTGGATTGGGTTTGAGTGTATCCATGACAGATGTGAGATTGTTAATTAATGGTTCAACTTAAGGTGGCAACTTTAATACACATCTGGGTGGATTGAGGCACCTGGGGAACCCAGTGTTGTCTGTATTTTTTTTTTGGAAATCCTGGGGTATCCGTGTGATCTTCCTATGGACCGCCACCCAGGCTTAAAGGGAACTGAGATGATTCATGCTAGAAACTTCCGTGTGCAGCAACAAGCTACTATGGGCTCTAGCATAGTTGAGTAAGTTACGTGAAGCTCTTGAAGAGGTAGATCAGCAAGTAGTGGGTTTTGTAGGTTTGGTATGGTCTACCCGGAGTAGGGAGTTAATGTTTCCGAAAGACTATGTCTTGGTCATCCGTTTCTCAAACACCGCGCAGTGCGAGAAATCCAACGGAAGCGATCGAGTCTTGTGGGGAAAAGTGCGCAAACCTCTGCAGAGTGTACAATCTAATCATGGTTAGCCGTGTCCCCGGTTATGGACAATCTTGAGTATCTAGTACTTGGGTTATCACATGTATCTCATCACTCATAATTAATATTGTTTGGTTGATAATTACTTTAATTTGGGATTGAGTTGGGGTTATACCTTCTCAATGTTTCAACCACCATGATAGTTAAATAAAATTATTCCTTTGTTGTAGGGAAAAAATTGCTTTTCGCAAAACTATAACCATAGAGCTTTCCACCAGCCAAATATGCATGTAGTGATAGCATTATTCTGTTCTTGCTCTACTGTGTTATATTACCAGCATATTCCATGTGCTGACCCGTTTTCGGGCTGCAACGTATTATGTTGCAGACTTTTCAGACGAGGAGTAAGGTTCGTTAGGTCGTTGCCGTGCAGCTCAGCTATGTCATTGGAGTTGATGGACTCACTTTATCTTCCAAGCCTTCCGTTGTTATCGCATTAGATGGCCTTAAGCCATATTATTGTAATAAGTTCTCTTTTGAGACATTCGATGTAATAAGTGTGTGATTGCTACTCTGTTATAAATCCTTCGAGTACTGTGCGTGTCAGTATTACTGATCGAGGGATGACACTGAGGCACAGAGACTTGACCGTTTGAGGTCGGATCGCTACAAGTTGTTCCTCCACAACCTTGTGCTGCTTCAGGTGGTATCAGAGCCCCGTTGATCCATACTAGTTCTTGTTGCTCTCTTTGAGAGTGAGGTACAACAAGCAATGAAACAATTGGAGAAGATGATGGATGTTGCAGAATGACAAATCAAAGAGCTGTGTGAAGATCTTAATCAGAGATTTGACTAGCTGTTTGAGATGATGATAAAGGGTGTTCTCCTGCTGCCAGTGAAGAATATTCATCTAAAGAAGAAGATGATATTCAACGACGAAGAAGGGGAGGTAATCTTGGAGCAAGACTACCACAACAACATGCAATTCATTGTACTTCAAAAAGGCTAATTTATGTTAAAACTTCCGAAGGTGAAGAATATGATGATGCCCTTGAAGAACCTAATCTCTATGCATATCGGAGAGTACCAAACCGTACATATGTAAGGGATATATACATGGTGAAAGTTGAGATCCCCACTTTTAATGTAAATATTGATATTGAAGGGTGCCATGATTGGTTATATGAAATGGAGACTTTCTTTGAGGTCATGGAGGTTCCGAAAGATTGTAGAGTTCCTTTGGTCGCGTACAAGCTGGAAGGAGGAGCCGGTGCATGGTGGCATCGTGTTCAAGAAGAACGCAGGCTAAGGGGAGAACCTTGTGTGAGAACTTGGCGGTAAATGAAAAGTCTTTTGAAAGGGAGATTTTTACCCGCTTACTATAATCAGTCCCTATTTATCCAATTTCAAAATTATGCTCAAGGAAATAGGACTGTACTACAACAGCTTGTGCTTTTGCAGGTCATCAAGTATTTTCTGGCACCTTTGCCGGGGAGCCTAACGCTTAGTCATTACCTACCTGCTTGCATATAGTTTAATTTGTTCATTGCTATTATCTTACTGTTTTCTCTTTAAATCAAAATAAATAAATAAAATACTAATCATGTCTTCCGAGATTTATCTCAATGAACTGAAGAAATCTGCGACTGAGCACAAAAGAGACACAAGCCCACGCCATTGGCTATCGACCCTTTCGGAGAGGAAAAAAATGATGTGCTAGTTTTTTGGGGAAATCTCGCCATCTTGATTAACTCAAAGCAATGTTCATAGGTACAGTAGCCGGATCATGGGGTGACCGAACCAAATATGACGACCACTATCTATAGAGGTAGCATATTTGGCAAGATTGCGAGCTTCAAAATTAAACTTCCTACACTCAATAATGAAATTACAAGACTGAAATAAAGTCCTGCAACGTCCTATTTCCGCTATGATCGCTCCATGAGGGCCGTCCAAGCCCCGAATATCGTCTTGGATAACACCTTGGAAATATGATGCAACACAAATGTTGCGTAGTCCAAGATCTTCAGCAACTGACAGAGCTTCCTGACATGCAAATGTTTCAAGTGTAGTAGGATCGGCAATACTATTGAAAACTACCGTTAAGGATCCAAGGTAGGCTGCCGTGTGGTCTCTACAAATTGCAGCCGCTGCTCCTTTGTGGCCACTATGCTCAGAAGCTCCATCAACATTAATTTTCATCATGCCTGCAGGTTATGAAATCCACCGTTCAGTCAGTGGTGATTTAAAACGTCTTGTACTTTCTCTAGTGTTAAAAAATGTCTTACATTACGAAGAAGGGAATATACATATAATCCTGAAAGTTAGACAAAACGTCACGTAAGGATTTTTAACGGCGTGGCGGTCGGTCCGTTCTGCAGCGCAAGGGGGGAGCCTGTCGCATTCTCTGCCAGCAGTGGCCGATCCCACGCTCCTGGATCGATCCAGACCGTCGAATCAAGATAGACACGGTCGGTCGCAGATATCGCACCGGACCGGCCGGCAGCGTCCACCTCCACCAGCGCAGCGCAGGCGGCCGCACCGATTTGACGAGTCCTTCCGTTCTTCCTCTACTACCACCCCAGCGGCACGCACAGTCACGCGGACGCCTTTTTATTTCGCCCGTTTCCTCCAAACCATCCATCCGTCCGATTTCTTCCTCCTGCTCCAACCCCCCGCCCACCGATCCCCAAGTCGGTACTGGCCCGCGTCGCACCGCACCGCACCGCACCGCATCGCCGAGACGAGCCGGCGGTGAGGCCGATCCGTCGCCGTGCAGCGCGGGCGGGCAAATGGGAGTTGGGCGGTGATGGGCGCGGCGAGCTCGAGGCTGGAGAAGGCGCTGGGCGAGCAGTTCCCCGAGGGCGAGCGATACTTCGGCCTCGAGAACTTCGGCAACACCTGCTACTGCAACAGCGTCCTCCAGGTACGGACGCCCTGCCCCCAAAACCGAGATCGTCGCGTGCGCGCGGGCGCCTCGTTTCCTTCGCCCCCAAGGGCGGTGCGCGCGCGATTGATTCGTCCTGTTCAATGCGTCCCCCGCGTCGGGAGGGGCGCGGTTTTCCGTCGGATCGCGGAGCCTTGAATTCGATCTTGCGATGTCGGGGTAGATTTGTGTGCGGGGTGAGCGCAGGCCGCGGAGCGAGTAGTGAGGTTCAGAGTCCAGTCAGCGCCCCTTGCATGGAGAAACTCACTCTTGGGGTTGGCCTGATGGATGATGAGATGTTGTTCCTGTTTCGATTATGTGTGTTCGAACTTTGAACCGCGAGGTTGCATTTTTAATGTTAAAATTTTGACAATGGGGGATTGGGGGCGCTCAGCGCTTCTGCATAGACTGCGTGTGAGTTTTGCCCTGTATGGATGGAGGTGTTCTCATCAGAAACATTGTTGCGAGAGAGAGGATAATATGTTTTCTCGATTTATATTCCTCATGGGATTGGCTAAATTGTTTTGTGATTCTATTACAGGCACTTTACTTCTGTGTTCCTTTCCGCGAGCAATTACTGGAGTACTATGCTAACAATAAAAGCGCCAGCGATGGCGAAGAGAACATGTTAACCTGCTTAGCTGACCTCTTCTCTCAGGTACCACTGCAGCTATCTATTGTTGAAATTGTTTCCTCTGCCTCAGTTTCCTTAAGTTCCATTTGCTGCGTCATATACAAATCAGAAATCACATGTAAGCATAAAATCTGAACTGGCACTTTATCGCATATCCCCTGAATGACATGGGATTTTCTCTGGTTCATTGAGGGGTTCCTCATCAGTGGCCTGTAGTGTAATGCGTGTGTTTCTTGAAGAATTCTGCATTTGGCAGTATCTAGTAACCCCCCTGGAGTGTTGCTAGTGTCAAATTCAAGAATTTGGACTGTGGAGCAACCCCAGGAGCCTTTGTAATTAATTGATAAACCTGGAAGTGATTATAACTATAATGCATGTTAAATGGAGAACATTCACAGGATAGCACTTGCTACTGTCTTGGTTGATCTCTATGGTTTCAGGGTTTGTTTGTGTTTAACTCTGTAGTGAGATGATACATAGGTGCTAGTCAATTGCCTTCGTTGTTTATCTTTTAGTCTGAACATCAATGTTCATTGGGTAGTGCCCTTTATGTGGAGGCCTTTTACTAGTTTCAGTTGTATGATTTGATAATAGTAGCTATGCTGGATCAACATTGCAAAATATAATTGTCATCTTCCTCTGTGCACACAGATCAGCAATCAGAAGAAGAAAACAGGCGTTATTGCTCCAAAGCGTTTTATTCAACGACTGAAGAAACAGAATGAGCTTTTCCGCAGCTATATGCATCAAGTAATACATTACGTGATGATGACACATTTACTAGCGTGTTATGGCATCTCAATCATCCCAATTGACCATGACTGCTATACTATTGTGTTTTACAGGATGCTCATGAATTTCTGAATTTTTTGTTGAATGAGCTAGTTGACATTCTCGAGAAAGAATGTAAAGCCAATAAAGAAACTCCTCAAAATTCATCTTCAAATAAGAGTTCTAATGGCCCTATTAATGGTCAGCCCAATGGTAGTCATAAAGAACCAGAGACTACATGGGTCCACAAATGCTTCCAGGTGAGTTTTCATCCATTTCTGCCTATATTGTTTCTGTATGAATCATGCTCTTATTGCAGTCTGGGAGATGTGCCTCATGGTATTTTATTTCTTTAGGGAATATTGACTAATCAAACAAAATGTCTGAGATGTGAAACCGTCACTGATAGAGATGAAACATTTCTTGACTTGAGCCTGGATATAGAACAAAATAGTTCAATCACCAGCTGTCTTAAAAACTTCAGCTCAACAGAAACTTTGAACGCCGAGGATAAGTTCTTCTGTGACAAATGCTGCAGGTACGTTATTCCATTTCTTTTGATTGCCTGTTGTTTCCTCATGTGATATCCGGTATCTCCATTTCCTCCTGGTCCACATCATGATTTAGTAGAGTAGCATCAGAGCTTGTGGAAATGTTGTTATTTATTACCTCTGCCTACTTGCTTGACTTATGTGCTTTAAGTTCATTCATTGACTATGCACTAGCATATCAAACTTCCAAGTTCAGTTATTTGGCAAAAATTGTGTGTCACAGGCATTCATTTTCATTTCGCCTATCATAATTTGATCTGATATTCAATGTATCAAAATTGTTGCATTGCCTGTCTATTGTTTGTGTGTTTGGATTATCTCTATTTATCTTGGACCTTGATTGAAGTTGTCATTAATTTCAGTTTACAAGAAGCACAGAAAAGAATGAAGATAAAGAAACAGCCAAACATCCTGGTAATCCATCTCAAGCGCTTCAAGTACATCGAGCAGCTTGGGCGCTACAAAAAGCTGACATACCGAGTTGTTTTCCCACTGGAGCTTAAACTCATGAACACGGTCGACAACTCAGACTTGGAATATTCCCTCTTCGCTGTGCTAGTCCACGTCGGAAGTGGGCCAAACCATGGCCACTACATCAGCGTGGTAAAGAGCCACAACCACTGGTTGTTCTTCGACGATGAGACTGTTGAGATGACCGATGAGTCCATGGTACAGACATTCTTCGGCTCGGCACAGGAGTTCAGTGGTAACACCGACAATGGCTACATACTCTTCTACGAAAGCGTCGCTAAAACAAGCTGATGCCTTCCGCATATCTCGTGATTAGCAACACAGTTTTTTTTTCCTTTTGTCGCCACACCCCCTGCTCCGTGCTATATAGAAGATTCGGTAAATCAGAATAATTAGAATGGCAAAGACCATTCAACCTTAGATGCTTTGGTGGAGTCAGTGCTTAGCAATAAAAGAAGCTGTGACGAGTTTTGCGGGTGGGTACTATAGCCGCCGAATCTTGCAGTCTTCTTGATGTTGTGTTTCCGTTGTGTTGTGGCGCAAGTTTGTATTGATCTGGAATAATGTTTCTCAAGAAGATCTTATCATGTGAAGGGATGCTTGTATCTTGAAGCCTTCTGGCTTGGTAAATTTTTGCTTGGGAGAGCTTCTGCTGATTCTGAAGTATACACATGCGAACGAATCTACGGCCTTCCTTTCTTTGTCATTTGTATTTGTATATACTGTATACTCTGATTTGGGAGCGCTTGTTCCAACGTGCTAAGCTCCCGAAATTGCGAGAAACCGAATTCAGATATGTACAGCCACATACATATGTGGTGTGTGACTGCATAGCCAGTTTTCCAACTTGGTTGCAGTGGACCACATGGATATTATAAGTGGTGAGATTTGTTTGGCAAGGTAGGATGAAGCCCAAGTGAGGAAGCAACAAAGCTGATTCTGCATTTCGTGGGTGCCTATCTGGGCAGCTGGACGCCGCTGTTGATCTGGACCGGCTGTTCTCCTCCAGCCACTTAGTTCATCCTAGTTACCACTACAGGCAAGATATTTTCCCCAGAAACCATATGCACGCAAGTGGCACAAGCTCAAACTGGAATCCAACAGTTCACCGAAGCGACAACAGTTACGTAGGAGTACAATACACCGGGGAATAGAACATTCTAGCTGATGGCTACTGGATGATTTAGATTTGTCCCTGCACTGGCGACTGGCATAGCAAAGTGAATCGTCCGGCCACATAGGTTAACGGGAACCGAGATTCACTGGCTTTTGACAATGCCTAAAGGGTGGTTGTGCTACTGTGGATGATGATGTTTCCAACATGAGATCACTCAGCAAATTAAATTCTATAAATATAAGCTCTTTTTTTAACCTTTTAAGGATACCAGCTATGGTGGAATCAGTGTTTAACAATAAAGAGACTGTGATGATGTTTCTGACGAGTTGGAACAACTATCAGTTCATGAGAAAAACTATGTTCATTGCATGACTGGTTTTTGTATTCTACAATTTCTGTTGCTAATATAGCCAAATTGTAATGCTAAAATTTTGGCTAAAGCTAAAGCTAAAATTTCGGCCATGATGGTGTTCATTGCAGCACAGTAAGCTTCAGCTTGACTCAAGAGTAGCTTGATGTTTAATGGAGCCGTTCTGTACAGAAAACGGAAACTAAAATTAACTGCATGCTACTTTGCAGGTATTTTTTTTTCCTGTTTTGCTCTGTTTTTAGTTGTGTATTCATCTCTCCTATTTCTAGGAAAGCATCTGGCACTGACAGTGCTTTGAATCCAACAATAGCTAACTCTGTGACGCCACTAGCCCAAAAATGCTACACTTACGGGACTGTTCCCAGTAGATCCTAGTCAAAATTTAGTTCCATCTTCAGCCGCCTTTGAGTAAAAAACAATCAGGTTCTACCACCTCCTTTCAGCCTACCAGTCGTTTAACCAGGTCCCTTAGATCCACTGCAAGCTTCTCCAACTAGAGAACAGGCCAAAGTTGCGGAGTCTGGGATAGATCCTGACACAAGGAGAAGGTTTCTCATATTACAAAATGGCCAGACTCCTGCACCACCTCTTCCAGCAGTACCTCATGGAAATTGGTTCCTTGTGGAGGATGGCATGAACTCAAATAATCTGAACAGGGGTTCAGCAGGGTTCTCTTTAGAATCAGATACCGAGTAACCACCAAATCCATCTTACCTCCACGGTGGGGATAACAATCCTATGTCCTCCTCTGGCCCAACAACCATCTTTCTACACTCCTTTTGTTATTTTACCAACATGTACAAGTATTTTCAGCATAATCAGGCCTCTTGATCAGATCCCCTCCATGGAGAAGTACCAGCAACCAGGATGGCCATCACCACCACGATATAGACAGACAAACATTGGAAAATACTGGCATTGTAAGTTATAGTGCCCATGTTTTCCAGAGAAAGTGTAACATCACAACAGGCAATCGCATAAAAACGACAAAACATGAATAGGCATAACCAATCAAGCTGCAACTTGGGAGAATTTAGGCATATGCATTCATCGCAAGCAGTGCAGCCCATATAGCGCATATTGACACCGTAGCTAATGCAAAAGTTGTTCCAATAATCCAAATCAGCAAGAAAAGAAAATGATCCCACAACTGCATCTGGCCATGTATAGCAATAAGAAAGAACAAATGCATCACAACCAAATCTGTATAGTCTAAATGGAGTATGAAAAAACAAACCATTCACTACCAAAACAGCAGAAAAGGAGGATGAATACGACGCTGATTGTGAGGCACTGAGGTTTGTTGATGATGCAAGATGTATAGGGGAACATAACTTAAGAAACCAAAACTAGACTGTACCAGCAGTCACAATTACCAAGTGTTACTCCTTTCACTTAAGCTTTACACACTGATACAATAAAACGCTCCAGAACGAAGTAAACAACAGGAAGGCACACACAGCAGCTGTAAACTGTAAATGTAATACACTGTTTAACATAATTGCATATATAGCAAGATTCAACTGCATTCCACGACCAAAAGGGCAATCACAGGTTAAATGCAAACGGCACCACATCTTATGGAGAATAGCACAGCTAAAGATAAAAGTCTTGTGTTTGAGCTGCCTCCCCAAATTCCATACCTCAAGCTAACTTTTGCATCTAGTGATAAGAGTACTGCAGCAGAATAACATAAAGACAAGAATATAATAGCATCACAAGGAAGCAGGGACAGACTCTTACAACACCGTATCAAAACATCTTCCTCTTCTTGTTTCCTGACTCGCCCTTCTGGTTGTTAAATCCTCTGAAGTCATTCGTCGTCTCAGCAGTGTTTTGCTTCTTCATCCCTTTGCGACCGCCATGACCAAACTTGGAATCCTTTGACCTATGGTTCTTTCCTTGTTTACCTCGCTTAGCAAGACCACCAGACCTGTCACCAGGAGAAACGCCAGGCCTCTGCTTCTTGTGCTGCTTGAGTCCCTCTTCAACTTCAAAGTTCAGGTTTGGCCCGTCCTCCTTCCCCTTGGAAAATCCCCCTTGTTGCCTCTGCTTCCTCCACTTCTTGACCGACTCGATACTCTCCTTCTTCTCCTTGGCCCTCTCCTTGAGCTTCTCTGCCTGCACCTCCTTCGATCGTTTCTTTGACTCGCGCGCCTTCTTCCTCTCCTCAGCCTCCTCAATCTTCTTCTTCTCAAACAGGAGCTTCCCCTTGATCTTGTGCATGTGAGTGTCAGTCTTGACCATCTCCGCGTAGTAATCTGCCGGCCTGAGGAACCGGACCTTCCTGGACTGCAACTTCTCAAAGGCCTGCCTCGTGCCATCCAAAGCCTGGGTGTAGAAAGCAAGCTCCCGGGTAAGATCATCGTTCACATCGACCTTCTCCCCCTGGTCATGATCGACGGTGAGCTTGTGCATCCAGTCGACGTTCTCCGGCCAGGCGATGTCCTCGAGCTTCTCAAGGAGCCCCTCCTTGTTGTACACGGCCTTCTTTGAAGGTTCAGCCTGCAATTCCTCCTCTGAATCATCATCCTCTGACTCCACATAGTCCTCGTCGGTATCATCGTCATCCAGCATGGGTTCGTCGTGGACCAAGGGGTCCTCTTCTTTTTCAAGCTCCACCATTTTCGCTGTACAAAAGAAAACATGATATTAATCTACAGAACAGTATAAGAAAATTCCAGCGGATGCGACGACGCAACCTAGGGCTCAAAAGGGGGAGTTCGATTTCAGTTTGGCCTAGCCACTATGGCGGCTGCACAAATAAGGCGACGGTTTGGTCCAAGAAAGGAGAGGGTGTGGATAGAGGCACAGGCGGAGGCTCGGTCTGCCCTACCTTGATTTATAGCGCAAAACGTTCTCTACTGGTACACTGCATCGCTGCATTCCAATGACTCCTCTGGTGCATATATACATCAGAAAAAGAAGAAAAAGAGGGCTCGGTCGCTGCTGAGGCTTGGGCTGAGTTACCTGAACCTGTCCTACTTGCTCAGGCATCATTCGTTAATTGACCAAACCGCAAGGAGGCATCGTCGATTGACAGCAGTTGTCCAGGAACGAAACCAAGAGGCGTAGAATGCAGCCAGCCATCGCGCACAGCATGGAAGCGAGCGACCAACCCTAGTGCTAGTGGCCGCCGCGGGCGGCGAGCAGGCGGACAACGGGAGAAGCGAAGGCTAGACAGAGCTCAGCCGTGGGCGTAGGCGCTTGCGTAAGCGGCGGCCTGGCAGCGCTGCTGGCGGACTGCGCTGGGTGGCACGGCGCCGCCGCGGGTTGTTACCGGTGAAGGCTCTGCCGCACCTTAAGAATAATTCGTCCTCCGCCACTGGATAGAGGAGAGGGGCAGGTGCTCACCTTGCTTACGGGGAACCGTCATCGCCGGAGAGGGTCGCTGGCCGCCGGAGAGACGCGGGGACGAGAAGGGGGAGAAGGGGGCGTCGGGGTCGGGGAGGAGGCGCGCTACCAGAGGGGGTCAGGGTTTAGGGTTAAGGAGCTCCCGTTGCGGGCTTTGCCGTCGGGCCGTGCAGGTGGGCTGGCGATAACGGCCCATCAACGATGCTTTCTCGGGAGTTTTTTTTTCCTTCTTCTCCCGTTCCGTTGCTTTCTCTAGCCCATGCCCCCGCGTGTTTCAGAAAACTTTTTTTAATTTCTCAAAAAAAAGAAAAAGGAAACTTTTTTTTTTGCGGGGATGATTCAGAAAACTTCAGGATGGTCAAATCGAAACGTTATTTTTGCTAGATGAGAAAAAATAAAACTACCAGATGAACAAGTAGAGTAATTCAATAGTACTAATCAAGTTCATATTTCGGTGTGTCACAAAGACCAGATTGACAGTTTCATTTTAAAATAAATTTTAATTAATGGATATGATCATTTACTTCAATGAAAGTGTTCATGTTGAGCACGTAAAATTGTTTTGGTAGTTTAAAATATGTTCTCGATATTATTATTTTTGAAAGAATATTTGATTCAATATATGATGGTAAAAAGAATACAGAAGACACTGATAAACTTCATGGTTTCACGAATATCTGTGATGACGAATAAAAATGTAACGAACGAATCATGTGAAAAGATAACTCATAAAATCTATAAAAAATGAATTCGAAAAGTAGTGAGACAAAAAAATTTATGTAATTTGCAAGAGAAGAAGAAGAAGAAAGGAACAAAAGGAAACAAGAAAACATAGAGCAACTCTAGCATATTCCATAAATCCTAATGCCTTCAAAAACTCTAGCAATATAAAGGGAGAGGTAAAAATACACCATGTCTTATTTCCTAAACCCTCATCTATCTCTAATATTTTAACGACACTTTAAAGCTAGGGTCTAATCTTATATTTAAAGGATGGGAGAGTTACTATGGTTGTACCTTGGGAAAATTTTGTGTTTGTGATGTTTCCGTTCCTACGTGCTCCCGCTCGCACAATGCCGTCGGCATTGCCTCCCTCTAACGACGCCATCGTGCAGACCCTCGCATCCCACCTTGCATCCGATCCGAAGCTCCAACCTCATGCACCTCCCCCCTCACATGTCTCTACTTTGCCAACACGTCATACTCGACCAACTACAACACGAGTACGTTACTGCGCGACGGCCTAGTGTCCCACGACACTCCATTGCTGACAGTGACACCGTCGTCCGGCCTCCTCCCACCACCGCGCGACTCTCCCTCCTGCTTTCGTTCCTTTGGTGGTTCAATTTCATTCATTCGTGTTAAGCTCACGACAGTGATTAACTCTTCGGTTTGGCAGGTCTTTCATCAGATGCTGAATAGGTACAAGAAGAACATTTTCGTTCAATTATACTTGGTTTGGCTGTGATGTATCATAATGAGTTAGTATGTTCCAAATCCGCCTACATCAATCAATCAAAAAACATCTTGGAACATGATTTACCCATTTTTTGTTAACCCGAGGGTCCAAATTAGACCAATTTGAATATGAGGGGGTTATGTTTCTATCGAAGCACTTTTACCTTCCTTTTCCATGACATTTGGCGCAAGGCACACATAATAATATTCACTAACACGAGAGCTCTGAGGACGTGGGCATAGCCCAGTGGTTGGGGGCGCATGATTGTAAACCTAACGACCAGAGTTCGATCCACGTCGGGGACGAATTTCTGGAATTCTCATGAGGGATGCTTCTTCTATATCAATAAAACCGTGGGTGCTAGTGCCCATGGAGTTTCATTTTTTTTTACTAACACGAGAGCTCTTAAGTGGCGCTTGCGTGGGCTGGCCCAAAATGCGCTAATTGGTGATGATGTCCTGGACTAAGGGGTACTCCTCCATGTCGTCTCCCGGCCAGAAGGGCCAGGGCGAGGCCCCCGGTGGTGGTTAATTAGTGGGTCTCTTTAGGCAACTCATGACGTATACAAGAAGATTCCACAAGACTTTGCGCACAAGGCGAATACTCTTCTAAATTCTGGGCCTCCAGTACATTATATCCCATTCAAAAGCAATACAATACAAGCGGGATATAACGTTTTACCTCTTTGGAAGGGCCTGAACCTGGGTAAACATTGTGTCTCTTGTTCGTCCTGTTACCATCTAGCCAAGACTACCAGCTTGGGCCCCCCTACTCGAGATTCGCCGGTTTTAGCTCCGACAGCTGGCTAGGTGATCAAACATTCGTTCATTGCGCTGGCTGGCCCCTTGTTCCTTCGCTCGGTCCACGGCTATCCGGTTAATCATTGATCATTGATCGAACGATCGTTGACTTTTGAAAAGAAATCATGGGCCTGGAATTTCTTGCAAGAAAATAAGAAACAATGCATGAATTTTAAAACAACTTTGCGAATTTGAAAAAAATTCATGGAATTGAACAGGATCACAAATTTGGAAAAATCATGGATTTAAAAAGCTCATGAATTTGAAAAAAATTCAGAGTTTTGAAAAGGTTCATGAATTTTGAAAAGTTTATAAAATTGAAAAAAAAATCGTCAATTTGAATTTTTTCATGAACTTTAGCAAACTTCACCAATTGAGAAATTTTTACATGTTTGAATTTTTTCATGAATTTGATAAAAATTTCATCTATTTTAAAAATGTTCATAAAATTGGAAAAGGTTGAAGAATTTAAAAGTATTTGTGATCTTTTAAAAATGTTCGAAACATTGGAAAAATTTCAAGAATTGAGAGAAAAACTATGAAATATTTAAATAATAATAAAACAAAAGTAAAAGCGAACAAAAAAGAATTAAAAGAAGACTAAAAATAAAAAATCTGGTCCAAAGCTCTAGAAGTTCCGTCTCCAAAACAGGCCAGAAAGCTAAACAAAAAGTAGAAGCGGTTCGCTTTGATGGGCCGGCCCAGTTGATTGTGGGGTGTGACTGGGTACGTTTACTGAAGTAATCTGCGCTAATTCTCAAAAAAGAAAGTAATCGGCGCTATAGACTATTACCTCGGCCCATAAGACTTCTACCACAAAGCCCACGAGGCCCTGTCGACAAGGTTACGGGGTGTTGGAAGTCAGATTTTCCTTTTATTTTTTACCTAAAAAAAGATTTTCCTTTTCTTTTTTGGAGACTTTTTTTTTTGCAGGTGTTCTTTTTTGGAAACTTGGAATATTAGTTACTCGTCCGATGGACTATTTTTGCGATAATCTTGAAGAAAAGATGAAGAATGCTGTATACAGTGAAAGAAAATTGTTACTCCCCCTGTTCCTAAATGTTAGACGTTCTAGCAGTTGAATACATACTACATTTGAAAACAGATGTGCTCGTACTGTTTGATCTGATCCCTGAGAAAAACGTTTATGGGTGCCGCATATGTCATGACCGTAATCAGCCTACCTACCTGGAAACTCGTAACCACCTAAGTTTGGCCGCTCACTGTAGCAGTATGATTTTCGCTTGCGTTGAGCGAATACTCTGACCCCCCACGGACGGACTGTCGACGCCAACGCAGCGCTCCATCGCCGGCCGTACCAGTAATCCGGTGCGTGGTCACGTCGCGGTCCCGCATTCCCGCGCGAGGGACGCCATACCGCACCCACACGCGCCGGCTGGGTTGGTTCGGCCGCTGCCCCGCCGGCGCCGGGAGACCCGTCAAGGAAAAACGTGGCGCGCGCGTCCCGAGCCGCAGACCATACGATACGACGACGGCGACGCAACCCAGCGCCGTCGACGGATGTGCGTTTGTTGTCGTCCGCACAGGACGGCTGCTGCGGACGGAGCAGAGCCAAGCCAAAGCCACCGAAGCTACGGCGCACGCCCGTGCCGTCTCCGTTTTGTCCTTGCCAGGCTACGTACCTGGAGAGCAGTAATTGACCGTCCGTTGTTGTGTCCGAGGCTCCCCAAGTTCGAGGAGATGTTGGAGCACTACATGGAATGAAGATGGAAGAGTTATTTCCCCTCTCTCAGTTTACAGGACGTGTGTGTACCTTTAGATCGTCAACTTGATCAACCTAATACAAGTCATATATTACAATATACTAATATAAATTTTAGATATTCTATTTTCAAACGATGTATTTTTTATGTTATATAGTTTATATTAGGGTGATAAAATTGGCAACCTAGGTATACGCGCATGACTTGTAAACTGAAACAGAGGGAGTATTCACCTGGTTTGGTAACGTGTTCCGTCAGGTTGAGCAATCTCGACAGAAACCGGAAGAGCTGCTGGCTTGCCAATGCTGACCCTCCAGAAATTAGACGGGCCACAAACGTGAAGAATGAGCTCCTATATCGGGAAGAGGCGTTATTGCTACAGAGATCACAGCATAAGCTGCCTTACGGAGGGAGGCACAAGAACAAATGGGCTTTTTGGATACTTTCATGGCAAATCAGGGTAGAGGGCTCGCAGATAAAACAAAACTGAAAAGATTTGTGATGCTGATGGTGCTAGGAAAGAGGCTCCTACCGACACGGAGAGAATGTCAACATCTTTGGTCCTCAAAAAAAAAATGTCAACATCTTTCTTCGAGGAATTGTACAGCCGAGACCAGAACATCTCCCCGGCAGAACTGGGATATAACAACGTGCAGTAGAAACTACCCGGGCCATTCATTTACCTACGAAAGCAAGTGTCAAATCCAGACGGTCGCAGCGGACGGCCGTTCACTTCCCGATCAAAGACGCTACACACAGGGCAGGACAGCTTTCTAACACCAACATTTAGCAGGAAAAAAGAAAGAACTTGCACAAGCGTACAGCATTCCCCGGTTTTGTCCAGGACCGAGACACTGCAGAAATAGAAGCCCACGACGGCGACTGGTGCGGTCACACATTGTGGCTTCTGGTCGCGTTCATGCATGTCGATGATTTGGTTGCGCATGTGGTTAACACCAACTCGACCATAATTTCAACGGGGCCCGCGGCCACGAGAGCTTGAAGTGGACCGGCGATGCATACGTACGTACGTATATCT